AGTGACGCCTCCCAGCAACCCTGCCAGTTACACTTCTGGGGAAGACGTAAATGCTTCAGTCAGTAGACATAATGATGAGCCCAAAGAATTATCTTGCCTACCTATGGATGTTGAGGAAATACGTATTCTGGATGAGTTGGAACATCGTTTTATGCTTTCTAGAAATAAAGATATTCCTTTTACATACTTGGCTACTCTATCAGCAGAGTGCGCGGCATTGGAAGATGAAGCTTCTGTTGTTCGAGGGAAAATAAAGGTATGTCAGATGACTTCACTACTGATGTAGTATTATTGTTCTTACTTCATTTCGCCTAATGCTAAAGTACCATCTAGCTCACCTGATGTGGCTTTCTAGTGTTGGATTGTGTAGCATCTAGTGTTTATTTAGATCCACTTAGTTAGTTTGACACGTCATTGACAATCGCTCGATTGACAGGCATATGATGCAAAAGCTACCAACAAAGCCAGGGGCATCATAATGTATTCTATATCATGTCGTTAATGTGTATCACTGCATAACTTATTAATTTACTCTTGATACTTCTACTTTTGTTTGATAATCTTCTCTTGTTTTTCTGATATCATTTTAAATTTAATAGAATTTATTTCCTTTCCCATGATGTGCACCGGAATTTGCTCGGGTGGTTACCTTGGTTGAATTAGGTGTTTTGTATTGTAAGCTGAACTGTGCTACCTACTGCAAATATGTTCATAGTTGCTTTAAAGTGTTTCTAGATGATTCCATCTGTTTTTTTTGGGACTTTAAATAACCTGCTGTCTTGTATTTATTGTCAGCGACATAAATATTATTTGCTCATCTTGCAGTGCTTCCTGACAGCTGTTAAACGATTTCGATACAGACAGGCTACGTATGAGCTACGAATTCACATTGATGACGGGAGTCTAATTACTGAGATTCTTGTTGACCATTCCGTGAGTAGCACATTGATAATTAACTCTATCTTATTAGATTCTCATCACTGTACAATGAGTTTTTCTGTTTCAGATTATACAAAAAAAGATAGGATATTCTCCTCAGGATGTTATCAGCGCTATCGATTCTTCAGACATTGAGCAGGAGATTGCCATGAAGGAGAAGTTAAAAATGTTCCAGCAATTTTTGGCTAATTTCGAGGTAAGATCCTGCATGTCTCTCTGTTTGATTTTAAAATAGTTTTCTGAGGTTCTGATAACATGTTATATCCATTCCTTTGGTCATATCACATTATTATGAACGTTATTGATAGAAGGCACGAGGTACCCGAAGTTTGTTGCATATTGTTGAATCATATTCTATCGCCAAACCACAACATACTATTGTAGGCTTGTAGCATATTGTATCGCAAAACCATGTATTTGTGTTGGCCGAGATAGGCAATGGGTTGCAAACGAATTAGATGACTTTACGCAGGGTCCATTGATACCTAAATTTGGATTCAAATTTATTCGTTTAAGTTTTATTCTTGTTTGGCAGATTCTCTTTAATTTTTCACATGTGATCCTCTATGTAAGAAAACGCAAACAGAAACACATTAATTCGTTGAGGCCATATTCAGATCCTTCACTAGGCGAACTAATTAACCTGAATAGTATTATAAATTTGACCCAAGTCAAAATGGCATCATGTCCTCACATTTGAGCTTTCGAATCTAGCTGGAATTTCAGATTTTCTGCAGTCATTTAGGAACAGTAAGTGTTCTTTTTCCTGGAATTCTATCTATTTCATGGCAATGAAATTTCTCTAGTGCACATGTTTATGTGTAAAAAAGTTAAAAAGTGTGAGGTGATGTTTTGAGCTTGATTTGCCATATTCTGCTTGTTTGTCTTCAACTTGAAAATCAAGTAAGTTTTTGTTTTTGTTTTTTTGTTTTTTTTTTCACGACAGTTAGCATGAATTTATATCTGGTGTTTGTCAGGGGACAATGATTGTGGAGATGAATAAAAATTGGCCTCTACCAGTAGCTGTTGAGATGAACCAAGGTTGCTCTGCATCTGATGCTTGCTTGCTTCTTAAAAGGCTGAAATCCACCAATCCTCGGTCACAGAGCACCTCTCGTTCGAACCCTATAATTAACCTTTCTCCGTAAGTCCGTAAATAGATTGCAAGAGGTTCTTCATGTATTTTTTGAATCAACGGGGAATTTATCAAATGATTAGCAACTATTTTGTGGTATAAATCCAAAATTCGAATGATTATTAACTATTCCTTGGTGGAAATTCACTTTACTTCTTCTTTTGTTCGTAGACTCATATTTGCTTCAAGCTTTTATTAGTTGGGGTAAAATTGATGTCATCAGAGAAATAGCCCGCCAGTTTTAACATAAACATACTGTAAAAGTAAGGTCCTGAGCAAGATTATGTAGTTACACTCTAGTTTACAGCTAGACAGATGAATCCAGTTGCATTGATGAAACTGAAATCTGTGATTATCTGCAAATACATGAAAAGGAATTCATATTCATTACATTTTAAAACTAGGCCCGTAATTTACAGGATGTTCGCTTAATGTACCCGTAACATCCGAATTTGTGTTGCCTAGTCGTGACATAGGCTTCAAGAGTACATTAAAACTGGAATCTGAGCATCTTCTTCTCCTCTATCAGTAACTCTTAATCTTTGGGGACTGGACAGAGTCTGGCCAAATGGCATCTTTAAGCCCAGGAATTTGTATGAGTTTGTAGCTAATGGCTTCAGTTTCTGGCACTCCTGGCCCGGTAATGCAAAACAAGTTATTAAACCAGTCAATTAGCTCGGGACACAACAACTTCACATAATATGTTGTTTTGAACCAAAGTGGAATGGTTAAGTACTTGTCCCCACGGCATGCACTGTTCACAGTTGCCTTTGCAAATCGTCCTACTACCTCAATTGGAACGGCACTCACCACAACCTGACAAGTTAGATAAGCTTGAGCTATCTCCTCTAAAAGATAATTTTATTAGTATTATCTTTTTTCATAAAGATTTTAGGCTCGAAGATCTTACATCTCTCATTTCTTGATCCACCACAATTTTCCCTTCTTTGTTAAGGAATTTGCCCTTTGTCATCTCGGACTCGATCAATCCAGGTGTGACTATCGTGATCCCGATATCAGCTCCAAACTCAACCCTTAAAGTCTCGAAGAAGCTTACTACTGCAGCCTTACTTGCCTGAGAAAAAAAGTAAGATGTTGGTTTTAGACTACTAGCAAGATAAACACAAGTATAAAGTTGCAACAATGTAGATACATGATACTTGACATTATAAAAGCTAAGCCTTGGTGCGTTCAACCAGCTAGCTGACGATGCTATCACGACAATCTTGCCTTTTGTGGCCCTCAAGTAAGGTGCAGCGTAATAAGTCATATAGACCGGACCCCAGAAATTTATATCCTATGACAAGAAAGCAACAAAAAAACTCAAAATATAATTCCAAGTGAGATCGATGTATATAATGTGGGATAATTACTCGATTTAATTACCATTGCCGGCGAGAAGTTGGTCACTCTAATCGTATCTTCAAACAAGCTTACTGGGGTGACTCCTGCGCAAATAACTAGGTGGTCCACTGCACACGTACAACACTTAGAATAAGTTTGATGCAAAAATAGCTTCTTTTGAACCGAATGCTAGTGATGTAACTAAATTTGGGGTTCTGTACATCGGCCAAATTGGTGGATGGCTTCATGTATCAATCTCCTGCATTGTTCGGCTTTGGAGACGTCGGTTCGTATTGGGATTGTGTGAGGAGAGCCGAGCAAATATGCCCTCTCTGCAACTTCTCGTAGAGCGTTCTCTCTTCTTGCTCCAATCACCAGATATGCACCCCTTTTTCCATACTCGTAAGCGAGGTGCTAAGAAATAAAAGAAAAAGGAAAAAAAAACAGCCAAAATTACAATTACGAATGCCCGAAAAAAAGGAAAAAATCATTTTGGCGGATGAATTAATAATTGGAACCTTTCGAATCTTTTATTCCAATATCTTGGTTGTTCAGACAAAGTCTAGTGCTAGAAACACCCAATATCTTGAGGATAATTTTGGCATTCAAGTTCTAATATTTTAAAGCTGGGGTGTGTTTATGAAGTGCCCAACCTGGCCTTGATCAGTTGTGTTGGAAAATCATTCAAATGGGCTCATATCAACATTAATCAAACTTGTCTACCACTGAATTTGGTAACAGAGTATATTGTTTGGTTGATGGTCAAGAGAAGATAAGATGAGTTAAAGAAGAGTTTACTCAGTAAACTCGATTCCTCCACCAATGAAGAAAGTTAATACCTCCCTTATTCAATGTTTTTTGGGCAACATATTTTGTATTGTACGACAACTACAAATGCGGAGGGTTGGTATTGCTTCTATCCAGAAGAAAATAATACTTAAGGCGATGAGAAATTTTCATATCAATTGTTTTTTTTTTTTTTTTNGGGTAAATATAAGTGTTGTAAATTATTGTTTAATTTAATTAATACATTTGTAGTAATTATGAATTTCTAAGATATTGAATATTAAAGAATTATTTAAATAATTCCAAACAAGAACGCAAAGATACTCAACATATGGTGCCACAACTTCGTTGGACAATTCATAATTTAATTTAAAAGAACTACAATGCTATTCCGTTATAGTGAGATGGAATAAAATGGAGTTAAAAAAAGAAGCCTATTTATAAACTTATCTTATGTCAAGGTGTAGAATTTGTTTTTAAGAATTCGAGTCGTTATCGACGGCGGTCGAGCAGATCCGCTTGACGCACCTGGCCTTGGCGAGCGCGAGCACCGCGGACTGGATTGGGGAACCTGTGGGCGCCTCGCTCCCGATCGTATGGGGCCCCCTCACTCACACTGAACTCCCCCCTCTCTTATTCTTTTAGGTCTACATTTAGGTCTATAGTTGGGCTAAGGCCCCACCTGTAGAACTTATTTTGAGGAGGGAGTTTGTGTGAGTGATTTTTCTGTCTTGGGGACGACGATCACGCCATTTCTTGCGTCAATCCATTCGGGTCTACCCATCGGGGCGGGAGGATGCACGGTTCGCCGACACTCGGTGATGGGAGGCGGGTTTTCAGGTCGACCGATTTCTTTCTTGGATTGGCTATGCGCAGTCGAGTTCTCGACTTTAAAGAACACCCAGCTGTGAGGGCGCGCAACCGCTTGGTGGCAGTAGTTCAAGGCGGCTCGACAACGACAAGGTAAACCGAAGGTCGTGACTTGGGAAAATTTTCATAAGCACGTGGCGTGAATTTTTGCCTCGTATTTATGTTCGTGAACTAGACCAACGTTTAAAAAAATCTTCGCTAAAGTTTATTATCTGAGGAATTTTACCAAATCTCACAGACCATGGATGTTCGTGAGACGACTAACGACTTGGTGTCATTGGGGGGTTTTCGTTGCCCTTCCAAGATATTATCTTGTTGAATCTTATTTTCGATGCACACCAACGGGCTCTTTTAGTGGAACAACAGTTGACTCGACGGTCAACTAGATCCTTCGTATCGCCCCCTCGACCAGCAACGGCCACGGCTAAGTCAGTTGTTGTCCTTAGCCGAACAATGGGTTCCACTCCGGCGGTTGGTCCCAAACCGTCGTCAACGCGTTTCTCGCGTGGCGAGCCGGGTCATCGACAGGCTGCTTGCCCAAAGTTGGGCATTCCTTGCTCACTACTCGTGGATGAGCAGGAGTCGACCTAGTATGAAGGTCCGTCTTTTTTTTATGACGAGGACCATGCGGCTGAGGAACATGTGACGGGGGACGTCGGTCCGACGCTTCTTCCTCGTCGATCCTGTTTGGTACAATCTCAACCTCTCCATTTGCTACAATCACTTTTACAGACACAATTTTAGTGGTTTGTATAGGTTTGTATATGGCCCTACTGGTCTAAGCGTTCTATTATTCGAGAAACCTAAGAACCCTATGGTGCTTTGTTTGGCGATAAGGGTCCTAAGATGTGTGGGAAAGAGTGAGCGTGAGAGTTGTAAAGTTGTCGAGTGACGGATCTTTTAGTGCGGAGAAGATATCAAGTCTCGCACTTTCAATGGAGAAAGTGGCTGGGATGAATGAGGAATTTCAATTGATGGCTACGAACAACAAGGGTAAAATCGACATTAATGAGTTGAGAGTCGGGCTGCACAAGCTTGGTTATCAAATCCCTGAAGTTGATCTTCAAGCGAGATTACATTATTTATGGGGAAACCCGTGCGTCAGGCAGAGTTAAAAATTTCAAATATTGATTTGTTAAAAATTAAACAAATAATTTATTTTTTAAAAGAAAACAAATAAATATTATGATACGATGTCATCCAATATTCATTGTATTTACTAATAGAAAATTTTCTAATTGATTTCGAATTGCAATAAGACTCCTAAATTCTAATGATTCTTAGAATCACAACTATCCAAAACTGAGAAGAAAAAAATCATTACTATCTAAAATCCTTTGCCAACATGTCGTAAATTACAACGCATCAAACACAATTACGAAATAAGAAACAAATATTATTAATTATAATTTAAAATTATAATATGACAAGGACAATGGAATGAAAACCAAATCTAAATTTTATTGATGTGCACATCAAACGTTGTTGTTGTTATTATTGTTATTATTATTATTATTATTATTATTATTATTATTATTTTGTAAATTTTTCGAATTACCAATAATATATGCCTAAATGATATCCACAACATAGATCTTTTCGTACAGCTAAACACAATATATTAATACAAAATGTTAAAACATAAGGAAACTATTTTTTGAAATATAAAATCCAACTTATTTTTTATTCTTAAAATCTAGATCATGCAAATATATTTGTTGCGATTTTCGGATGACAAATATTTTACTCAGAAAAGCACTCAAATTGGCATATGGGAACAAACTCAAGAGGCACACAACCCAATACTCAATGCAATATTTTAATAGAAGAGGAGCCCATACTTATTTATTTCCTCTCAATAATAACAATCCCCCACATGAGAGGAAATAAATTTATATGCAGACTCTTATGCTTAATCCTCACTAAACTCTATTGCATCAGAAAAGGTAGCTTTTGATTTTGAACTTTTCTTAGTAAACATCATCGGATGCACTGGCGGCCTAGTGGACATAATGCCTTGAACTATTCCTTCATAGTGTACACCAAGACAATGACATTTACACAATAGAGTCTTAACTCCATTCCGTTCTATCATTGTGTCCGTTTTGACCATGGACAACACTTTGGATGCATAAGTGTTTACATTTGAAGCGGTCCACACTTCACACTTATATAGGTGACCTCCCTATCAAGAGTATCCTGTATTACTCCACCTTTACAAGGTTAGGGATTTATTAAAAGTCCACATGACTTACCCTCACCACAATCAACAGGTAATCTTGCACTTGGAGTGCTCTAGGGAATGCGCTCAACTAAATTTTCATAGCTTAGTTTTCCCTTTGAACCAAGTTCGTGGGATCTCCACTCAGCATGGTAGGGTTATCACTATGATCATTCTTTACTTTGTGGATTTTTAAGCCCATTCCCTCTAGCAAAACTGCCAATTGATCTTTATTCAATACTTTCGTCAAAAGATCAGCCAAATTTTCTTTAGACTTCACAGTCAATGGAAATAACACCATTTGTGATTCAATTGGCGTACGGTATTATGTCTACGACGAATATGTTTAGACTTACCATTGTACAAATTGCTTTGCGCCCTTCCTATAGCAGCTTGGCTATCACAGTGAATCATCACAGGCGGCAAAGTCTTATCCCAACATGGAATATCGGATAAAAATTTCTAAGCCACTCGACTTCTTCACCAGCTTTATCTAAAGCGATGAACTCCGATTCCATCGTTGACCGAGCTATACACGTTTGTTTTGTGGATTGAAACTGCACCTCCTCCAATACAAAAAACATATCCTCTAGTGGAGCGAGAATCTATCGCGTCTGATATCCAACTTGCATCACAGTACCCTTCAAGTATGGCTGGGCATCTTGAGTATTTTAGCCCGTATTCAAGGGTGTTCCTCAAGTACTTAAGTACCTTTCTCAAAGCATTCCAGTGCTCATGACTGGGATTGCTCGTAAATCTGCTCAATTTCTTCACCGGATAAGCCAAGTCTGGTCGTGTACAATTCATCAAGTACATCAGACTCCCTATTATCCGTGAATATTCCAACTGAGCCACTGATTGACCTTTGTTGGCTACCAGATTTATACTAAGATCAAGGGGTGTCTTACATCTAGGTATCAAATTTCTTGAGCACTTTATCTACATAATGAGATTGTGACAAGACAATTCCATCTTGGGTTCTGATAATCCTTATTCCAAGAATAACATCAGCCAAACTCATATCTTTCATGTCGAAATTTCTTTTCAACATTCTTTTCGTATCCATGATCACTTCATGGCTACTCCCCATCATCAACATATCGTCTACATATAGACATACAATCACAAATGTATTTCCTGTACTCTTGACATAAACACATTTGTCACATTCGTTGATTTTAAAATTATTTGACAACATCACGTCATCAAATTTTAAATGCCATTTTTTCGGAGCTTGTTTCAGTCCGTACAAGGATTTGATCAATCTACACACCTTTCTCTCTTGTCCAGGTGCAACAAACCCTTCAGGTTGTTCCATGTATATTTCTTCTTCCAATTCACCATTCACAAATGCCGTCTTGACATCCATTTGGTGAATCTCAAGATTGTGCAAAGCAGCAATCGAGAGAAGCACTGTTATCGACGCTAAACGCGTAACTAGTGAATAGGCATCAAAGAAATCATACCCTTCCTTTTGTCTAAAGCCTTTAACCACTAAGTGTGCTTTAAACTTATCAATTGATCCATCAGCTTTATATTTCTTCTTTAGGATCCACTTGCATCCTAAAGGTTTACAACCATCAGGGAGATCAACCAACTCCCAAGTATGGTTCTGCATAATGGACTCGATTTCGCTATTTACAACTTCTTCCCAGAGTGGTCCATCTGGGCTGGACAGAGCTTCCTTAAGGGAACTCGGTTCATCGTCCAACATATACGTAATAAAATCAGGTCCAAACGTTTTAGCCGTTTTTACCCTTTTACTACGTCTTGGTTCTTCATCAGTACCCCCTAGTACAGAACCACTAGCAGTTTCATATGTTCGTTTATTAGAACTAGATTCTGCCCTTTCCTTCAGAGGAAATATATTCTCAAAGAATATAGCATTCCTCGACTCAATCGTGGTACCAACAGATACCTCTGGATTTTCTGATTTATGAACCAGAAATCTATATGTTGTAATATTCTACGAATATCCAATAAACACACAATCGACCGTCTTTGGCGCGATTCTCATTTGTTTGGGTTTAGGACTTGAAACCTTAGCCAAACACCCCCACATTTTTAGGTATTTATAAGACGACTTATGATTTTTCCACATTTCGTAAGGAGTCTCATTTTTTCCATTAGGTGGTATTTTATTTAGGATATGATTTGCTGTTAAAACAACTTCCCCCCACATGTTTGGGGGTAATCCTGAATTTATCAACATGACATTCATCATTTCTTTTAACGTACGGTTCTTGCGTTCAGCAACAACGTTCGATTGTGGAGAATAAGGGGCCTTTGTTTGATGAATTATGCCATATTTAGAACATATTTGTTCAAAAGGAGCTACATACTTCTCACCCCTATCACTTCGAATTATTTTAATCTTTTTGCCGAGTTAATTTTCAACTTCGGTCTTATAGATCTTAAATGCTTCCACAGCCTCGTCTTTGCTTTTTAACAAATATAAGTATCAAAACTTTGTGCAATCATCGCTAAAAGTAATAAAATACTTTTAACCAGTTCTTGTTTGTACACTTTTCATATCACATTCATCAGTATGGATCAAGCCTAATGGTTCAGTACTCCTTTCCACCGAGTGAAAAGGCAACTTAGCCATTTTTGCTTCAATACAAATTTCACATTTCTTCTGTGATTCAATTTTAGAATTAGGAATTAATTCTAAATTCACTAACCGTTTAATTACATTTAGATTTACATGTCCCAATCTAATATGCCATAAATCAGAGCACTCAACGGTATAAACATAAATAGGCTTTTCATTATCATTAAAACGGTTACACGGCTCACGGCCATTACATTCATTTTGAACATACCCATATCGAGATAGCCACGACCAAGGAATGTTCCAAACTTGCTAAGAACAAACTTCTTAGCATCAAATATCAGCCTAAATCTATGCTCAACAAGAAGAGATCCGGAGACCAAATTCTTGCGGATGTCTGGGACATGCAGAACATCCTTAAGCTTCAACTCCTTTCCAGAAGTCAGCTTCAACACCACAGTGCCCACTCCAGCCACATTAGCCGTGGAGGAGTTTGCCATGTAATGTTTCCGACTCTTAGTAGAAGTGTATTCAGAAAATACCTCCTCATCGGAACACACATGATGAGTGGCACCAATATCGATGTAACACTCCCTTGTGTTATCTACCATATTGGCTTCAAACACCACAGCCGCTCATATCAAAGTCGGTTAGTTCACCCGACACAGGACCCTGTTCAGCAACAAGGGCACTCGGTTGCCCTTTCTTTAGCCCAACCTTCTTTGGCCTCTTGCAGTCTTTCGCCATATGGTTAGGCTTTTCACAGTTGTAGCAAGTGCAGGTAAACTTCCAAACCTTAGCTTGCTGCTTTCCTTTTTCAAGGGGCTTCCTCTTGCTCGAGTTGCCTTGTTCCAGCAAGTTGGCACGAGCCTCCATCATCAGAATTTTCCCCGATGAATTACGATTGTCTTCTTCAATACGAAGACGAACAACCAAGTCTTCAAGACTCATTTCCTTCCTCTTATGTTTGAGGTAGTTTTTTAAGTCTTTCCAACTCGGCGGCAGCTTTTCAATCACAGCCGCAACTTGGAATGACTCGCTTAGAGACATTCCTTCAGCATGGATATGTTGCAAGATGAGTTTGAACTCTTGCACTTGAGACACAACGGTCTTAGTGTCAACCATTTTGTAGTCAAGAAACTTGCCGACGACGAATTTCTTCGCCCCGGCATCCTCAATCTTGTACTTCTTTTCCAACGCAGCCCAAAGCTCTTTGGCAGATCCAACCGAGCTGTACACATTGTACAACTCGTTACTAAGTCCATTCAGGACATAGTTACGGCAAAGGTAATCACCTTGCCCCCAAGCTTCGTACGCAGTGCGTAGTTCAGCATTGGTCTCATTTTCAGCAATAACCGGAGGGTCGTCCTTCAGGTATTTTACCAAACCCAAAGTGGTCTGATAGAAATGCATCTTTTGTTGCCACCTTTTGAAATCAAGCCCGTTGAATTTCTCGGGCTTCTCAGCAGTAGGGACATGGACAACAGGTACATGATTATGAACGACAGGGTTGACGGGATGCTGTTGTTGAGAACCTTCTCCGGTGGATGCCATCAATTCAGTAGGTTGAAATATTCTTCTTGTGATTGTTAGCAAATTGGGTGTAAAATTACACGGGAATCCTACGAACTGATATGTTGTTTTTCAGTTCTTACAAATAATCTGAAAATAGAAAATTACAATTGAACTGAAAATAAATTACAACTGAAAAATTAAAACAAAAAGAATTTAGCCGAGACGAGTAAAACTCTTTCCGCAAGAAGAATACGCCCCGTGTGTTGCTAACGGTTCAGGCGTAACTTCTCCAAAGATACAACGGCAAACGTCTCAAAATCTGTAGCACATCAGATTTACGAGCTCCGACGAACTGGAATGAATCGAGAATTGAACACTTAAAAATAAAAATATCTATCTGATAATTTTCTCTATTTTTATCACTAATATTTTTTTTCCCTCAAATATTCTTTTGGGACAGAATATTTTTCTATCTCTCTTTCTTCTCTCTATATTCTATTTCTTCTTCCGTCTGGTGTGTTTTTCATTCAGCAGAAGCACATCTATTTATAGGAGGAAATGATGTTGTAAAATAACCATTTGCAGTATGGCCTTCACGAACGCCAATGGAATGATAAGGTATGGGTACAAATCTTCACACAAACCAATGCAGAAGAATGGGCAATTTTCGGATGACAAATACTCCACTCAGAAAAGCACTCAAATTGGCATATGAGAACAAACTCAAGAGGCACACAACCCAATACTCAATGTAATATTTTAACAGAAGAGGAGCCCATACTGATTTATTTCCTCTCAATAATAACAGTTATATAAATAATAAGTATTGGACTGATCAAAAGTTTAGATGATAATAATAAGCAAATTATCATATGTTTGGATTAGAAAAATGCAATAAGTATTGGACTAAAAAAATCATACTTGTTTGTAACAATCCAATGTTACCTATGATTTGAATTAAATCATATGAATGATAAAAAAAAATCGCAATAAGTATTGGATTAAAACTAAGAACACCCAAAGGCACTAAAGCAAGCAAATCAAACCAAAATAGAGTTTACAAGCTAGCTGATGGCAATGCCTAACCCATTGATCCCAACAGCGAACCTCAAACTAAACACTACCAAAACTACAGAACACAAATGAATGATCTAATTGGTAGGACGTATTGTTACATTTCTCATATGCTAATTTATTAAGAAATTAACATAGATAGATTTAATATTTTAGAATAGAATCTGAATTCTCCCAAATATGGTATTTAATCAAATCAATGGTGTAACTGATTATCATTTATTTAAAAATTTTAAAATAACTATTTTCACTTTTGTATAGTGAATGTTGCGGCTAAGTGATATTAATTGCAATGGACATGGAATGTTGTTGTTGTTGCTGTTGTGATATATATTAAGAAAGAATCTTTATTTATATTGAAATTAATAGATAAATCTGTTACGTTAATAATTAAAAATTACCCCTAAAATAAAATCAAAATATTTTTAAAATTCGAAATTAAAGCTCTATTGGCGAAATTTTTTTGAATTTTTTCATAAAAATCACCAAGTTTAGTAATTTTAATTTTTTTTTTTGCGGGATTTTAGTTTCTATTTCAAATAAATACAAACCTTTATATATATATATATATATATATAGGGGCTGGCTAAAATAAAAACTAGTCCTGGTGTGAGAACTGTGAGAACCATATCTGATGCTATCTTTAATTGTGTACGATGCTATTTTTAATACTACACGATGCTATCATTTTCACAAATGTTAATATAAATTGCGTTGCTATTTTTAATAAAATACATCTTGGTTAAAAATAGCACCAAAACACAATCAATCATAGCACTACATACAATTAAAAATAGTAGTTCTCACGGTTCTCACGCTAGAACTTAGTTCTCATTTGAACCACATCCTATATATATATATAAGAAATGCAGATTTTGACAGGCATTTTCCTATCTCTATTTACATAATAAAATCAAAAATTCAAAATTGGTTCTATAATTTGACCAAAGTTCAATTTTCTATCCCGTCATTGACCGCTTTCAAAACTGAGTCCAATAATTTGACAATTTAATCAATTTTGATCATTTTTTATCTACACCCTGGATAAAACCGTGACGTTGCATTTTTAAACCTGACATGACGTGTGGCTTATGTGGCGAGATTAGGAAATATTGATTTTAAAATTTGAACCACATAATCTTAAATTGCAAAATAGCCATAGAACTTAACAAATTTTCAAAAAATGAGCCCCTGCAATTCCCAAACTCTATTTCGTCTTTACCTAGCCACCTCCGCCGTTCGCTGGCAGCCAGTCGACCACCTCCGATCGAATTTTTTTACATTATCTTCAAGCTCTCCTCGTTCTCCTCCTAAAATTTTCGGCGAAAATTCCACTGGTTAGGCCATCAATTACTCTGGTCAAAGTTTTAGATCTATAAAATTCCAGTCTTCTTCAATTTTCCGAATTCACAACGACCCACCCAGGGCCGGCCCTGGGGCTGGGCCAGCGGGGCGACCGCCCAGGGCCCGCAAATTATGAGGGGCACCATTTATTAAAAAAAAAACATTTTAGTATTAATTAACTTAAAAAAATTGAGTTTTATTTTCACTTATTTTCATTATGTATATTTTTATCTTGTTTTTCTTTATGTGAAATAATCATGATAAAATTAAATAATATGGATGAATAATAAAATAATTAATATATCAAAAATAATAGTTGTGTGTATATAATTCAATCATATTAGCGTAAAGGTGCATATTATTAATGAATCCTTGCATGTATATTATGGTGAGTTATGTGAGTTTATCCATTTCTAACAATTTATTTTTATTTAGTTCTTATATTTTTCTTAAATGGTTATTTAGTTTTTTTTTTCAATAAATATTGTTTTTTCTTCTCGAAATTTTCAATAAAGATTCATGAAACTAAAATTGCCTATTGTGGAGTACAATTAATTTAAACTATCACTACAAAAAAAAATGTCATATTCCAACGGAAAATCCTACGATAATATATTTCAATGAAAATTTCAATGGATATTCCAATGATATAGTTTCCGTTAGAATGATTCCAACGAAATTTTCCCGTTGGAATGAGTTTTCCATTGGAATTTAGATGGAATTTGATCAATCCAGCGGCAATTATTCCAACAGTTTTTTATTTACTGTAAGATTCCGTTGGAATTTTTATTTTCACTCATATTTCAATTGTTGGAAAATGTACCGTTGGAATTATCAAAATCCAACGATTTCTGTTGGAATTCATTGAAAAATTCTAACGGAAATAATAGCATTTGAATATCCATTAGAAATGCCGTTGGAATTACATTGAAATAATTTTCCGTTAGAATTTTTCATTGTAATTTCATCACATTCTTATAGTAGTGTATATGGTTAAGGTTAGAGGGAGTTTGAAACTTTAGTTGTTATATGTTCATACGTTTTTCACATACATGTGAAGGTGATCAATTCCTCTTGTTATTTTTTAAGTATTTTTTTTTTAATCTTCACTAATTTTCTATCATATGATATTTTTTATGAATCTATTTTTTGAAATAAAAATATTACAAACTTTTTACTGCATTTGGCCCAGGGCCTAAAAATCTTCAGGACCGGCTCTGGACCCACCGATATTTTAGGGCACCTTTGGACTCGTTGCTCTGCCAAACACCCGATGATGTCCACCATCTATGGAACCGACGACTTTTTCCAGCGACCCATTTTTTCTCTGCTTATTGATAGCTCAAATTTCTTTATGTAGTAAACCTTGGATATTTTTCAATAAGCGCACAACATCAACATAACCAAAAATTAAGAAGTACACAGAGCCTGTGTCTCAACATGTCTCCAATTTAACAATAAAAATTAGATAACAAAATCCCCCTTAAAATTAAAAATCAACCAGTGTGGATTCAAACCCGGCAACTCAAATTAGCATTACCAATATCATGGACTCGTCTTGGTATTTCCTCTCAAGAAACTTGAAAACGCCGAAAGAGGAGGAATTGAAATTTGCGAATGAAACAAAAAACGGAAAGTATGTTTGACCTATCTGTTATCTGCTATGCTATCTCCACTGTTGGAGGTGGAGAGAAAGTGGATAGGGCGGAGATGAGGTTTCCAACGAGTAGGTCGGCAACCACCGTCGTATCCCGACTAGAGAAGGTGGGTAGGACAAGCAATTTAAGGGTAAGGAGGAGCGCTGAGTACAATCGCTTCTGCAGCAATGAGCTCCGGCCGATGCTCTTCCTTTTCGATTTTATTTTATTTCAATTTTATCCAGCTTTATTTGCCAAACTTGGTAGTGAGGATGACACCACGTCACGCCACGCCATTTTTTTAAGAATCAATTGTGTAAATAAAAAGAGGCCAAAATTAATTAAATTGTCAAATTAATGGATTTGATTTGAAGGTGGTCAATGAAAAATTGTATTTTGGCTAAATTATAGGATCAATTTTTAATATTGACTCATAACAAAATTATATTTTTTAGTGCTTAATTTATATTCATCCGCATTAATATGTAATGTATACATAATATCTATATCTTATTGCAGATCCTCTCATTTTTTTATTTTTTAGCTAAATAATTTAGTTATTTATCATACATTTTCATACGTTTCAATTTGAATTCATGAATTTCCCTTTTAAAATTAAACATGATGTCATTTCATTTGTTACTCAATATTTTTTATGAATAATATTTTAATCACGGTGGCTTGAAAAGGTTATGCTTAAAAAGATAAATGTAAAACATGTGTAAAAAACTATTACAAGCATGAAGTTTCCAACACCAAAAGCTAAACTTGTTCGTCTTACTATTACATCAATTCTATTTACATGACAAATATTTGTAACATAAAATTTTATAAATTAGATAAATACTCAATTACTTACGAATCCCTAAATAAAGATGATAAATTTTTTTAAAATTTTAAAATAATGTAAATATAACATATCAAATTAATTATATAATATTTTATTTAATTATTTATGTTTATAAATCCGTGCACTGGTGCACGCACAAGTACATGCATAAGGTAGTTATTTTTAATCATGAACTTATATTAAAAAATCCGCGCAGAGTGCATACCGTGAATAGTGAATATGGAAACTGAATTAATAATGCAATATATAATTAGTAGAGCAAAACATTATGCATATGGAAATGAGTAGGAATTTAACCTCTCCTATTCCAGAGGAAGCTCCCGCAATGACCACAACCTTTCCAATCAAATTCTCTGCAAAAAAAGAGTGCCAAATGTAGAGGACACACTTGAAACAAAGATAGCCTGGAATGAAAAAGAGCAGCAGACCCAAGCTCAAAATGGGCACCGAAATGTTGAGAAATTGGATAATTAGATCCATAATAGTAAGTGAGTAATGAGAGACTAAGTGAAAAGTGTGTACCGAATGAATATAAATGAGATCCAACCAATATATAAACACGTTAATGCTGTGCATGTACTATTTGTGACACGTACATGTTGCTACAACTACTATTCACTTTTTTCAATCAATTTTTTATTTTTTTTTTAATTTTTTTATTTTTTGGTATGAAAGTTGACACGTTATCAATTATGAAAGTTGACGACGGTCATCAATGAGTTGTATAGGCGACTATGATTTCTTTATACCTTCCACTGCACCCAAAAAAAAAATTCAATGTTTGAAAAAAAAAAAGAAAAATTTTTTTTAGTCATTTTATCTAATTCGTGGAATACGTGATGGTATTTTTCCTCATATTTTAGTTTAAAAAAATCGAAACGGCTCTGAGAGAGAGATTTTCACCTATCTCAGTAAAGTCTATTATTGATTCGAAGAACGTCTCGAGATTCAGGCGATTGCGGATGATATAACTAGTAAATATGTTCCGCCCCATGTCAATATATTTTATTGTTTAGGGGGAATTACGCTTACTTGTTTTTTAGTACAAGTAGCTACGGGATTTGCTATGACTTTTTACTATCGTCCGACCGTTACTGAAGCTTTTGCCTCTGTTCAATACATAATGACGGAAGCTAACTTTGGTTGGTTAATTCGATCAGTTCATCGATGGTCGGCAAGTATGATGGTCCTAATGATGATTCTACATGTTTTTCGTGTATATCTCACCGGTGGATTTAAAAAACCTCGCGAATTAACTTGGGTTACAGGTGTGGTTCTGGCAGTATTGACCGCATCTTTTGGTGTAACTGGTTATTCCTTACCTCGGGACCAAATTGGTTATTGGGCGGTCAAAATTGTAACAGGTGTACCTGAGGCTATTCCTGTAATAGGATCGCCTTTGGTAGAATTGTTACGCGGAAGTGCTAGTGTGGGACAATCGACCTTGACTCGTTTTTATAGTTTACATACTTTTGTATTGCCGCTCCTTACTGCTGTATTTATGTTAATGCACTTTCCAATGATACGTAAACAGGGCATTTCTGGTCCATTATAGAGAAGATATCTAATANCCAAGTTAAAAGAACCCGATACAATCCTCTCATTTAAAGATCACTTTTATGCGATTATGTAATCTTTTGCTGTTTTCCGTTAACCACTTAGAATATATTGAAATCATTCAATAGAGTATTTTAAAATCTAGAGTAAAAATTTCCATTTGTAATCTACGTATGCTGAGACAATGTTGACATTTAAGAATTATTTATTTATTTAAAAATAAAAAAAATAAGTAGACAAAAAAAAAGAGTGGACCAAAATAAAAAGACGTATTTTATGAATACGTTTTTCTTTAAAAAAACGTATTATAGGAATACGTTTTTCTTAGTAAAACGTATTTAGAGAATACGGTTCAGTTAAAAATAATTAATTAACATAATTAATGTAATTAAATTAATTAAATTAAATAAAAACGTATAGCCGAAATACGTTTTAAAGTCAAAGAAAAATAAAAACGTATTATTGAAATATGTTTTATATTTAAAATTAATTTTACGAGTATTTTTTAATTATAAAACGCATTCTTGAAATACGTTTAAAAAAAAATTAAAATTATTAAAAATAAATTTTCTGCGAAAATAAATTTTAGAAATATAAACGTATTTTGCAAATACGTTTTCTTTGTAAAATCAATTTTCCCCCAAAAATTGATTTTGCCCTAATTTTGCTCTAATTCTTCATCTGCAGAAAAATGCAAAATATTTTTTTGGATCCATTTCACAATCTGTTCAACAAATCACAACCTGTTCAACCAACTAATATGAATCAATTCGCCTAAAATAATCCAACATACACTATATACAAAAAGTCAACCATAATAATTTATTCAAAACACAAATATCAGTATACAGAATGAAAAAAAAAACAAATATGTTCACAAAATTCCCCGAATACAACACAAACTAATTATGAGTGTATCGATTCGTAGGATTACGCTGTCGGTGGCTGATCCGACGTTGTGGTCGTCGTGAAGAAGACGATGCTGTGGGCGTGACAGGTTCTTCTTCTTCTTCTTCTTCACCTGAGTAAATCATTTTTTTAAAAATCACAATAAATAAATAAATAAAATAAATAAAATTATTTTTTTGTTAAGTTAAAAATTTTCACCTTCTTTTTCTTCCTGAGGCCCAGTGTCGGCAGCGGGTTGGCGGTCACGTCGTCTTCTACCTCCACCAATGTGGCAGTAGGTTGATGCCTCGCCCGGTGTGACTGCGTCCTCTGGGATCGGACGTAGCTCTCCTGCGATCGAACTTGGCTCGACAACGTCCCTTGTGCGACCTCTCCGCCTCCTACAGTCAGAGAACTGTATAGAAGGCTCTTGGCCTGTTGGACTGCCGCCAACATATCTGGATGGAGTGTATGATATAGGTGGTCCACGTTAGATAACGTGTGAAAAGCTCCCTCCATGGCGCTAGCCTGAAAATTAAATTCAAAGTAATTAGAATGAAACACAAACTAAAAAAAAACAACTAAAAATGAAATAAAATAATAATAATAATATAATAATAATAATAAGGGAATAAAAAACACAAATATATATTACTTATATCGCACTTCCCCTGCTCGGCAAGTGGCTGAAAGCCTCTGTCCGGTTAGGCCACCGCGTGCTTGGCAGGGTCACCGAGTAGTCTCACAGTGATATTGTGAAACCAATCAAGGTAACCCGCCTCAGGCTCAATGAATGGCTCCACAGGGATGACTGGGACGACATTTTCGTCTCTATGTTCGACCCAAGCATTCCCAAGCTCTCCGTGAAAGGGGACCCAATCAAAAATTGGCCTCCCAGTCATTCCCTTGGCTCGGTGGTGTCTCTCCCATTCGGCCTCAGTCGTAATGATCGGAGGTTCGGGGGTGTATTGCCGACAGCCGAACTGACGGAGGACCCTATCAGGCAGGTGGAGTTCACGGACGTTCCAGTTTAAGATCCACCCCCTATATATCCAGAGGTGTGAACCTTCTGTACACTGGGCCGGGAGAGCATTCCCTTGCAAGTGCTACTGATAGGGCAACCAATCGAACTGTAAAAAAAATATAAAAAAAAATTAATTGAAAATTAAGTTATAAAAAAAATTAAAACAAACAACAAATAAAACTAATAATTAATAGGACTTAATAATAATCTTACATCAGCCTCTGTCAGCCCTGTCAATTGATCCCGGGTGGTGGCTGTTTCCTTGCCCAGGTGTGTCGTGTTCCTCCTTCCCACCCACCTTAAAAATCACAGTAAAAAAAAAACTTTGTAATTACAAAATTTGATAATGAAAATAATCTAAGTATTAAATATAAATAAATTTGATTACCTTCCATCTAAGAGACAACCTGTGACTCTCTCAAAGTTCGTATCCCTCATTCTTGGGCGAATACGAAGGATACGTTCATATGCCCAAACCTACACATATCGACATATTCATTTGTTTTTAGATATTAGTCTAAATTAGAATAAAAAAATAAATTTTGAAATAACAAGCAAATAAATTGACCTGAATCAATTGGACACAGTTCTTGATCCACTTTTCCTCGTCCTTCTAGCTCGTGCAGAGCGCTCTATACACTCTAGGCCAGGACCGCCGAACCCCAGCTGTACGTCTTGATCGCATCGATGTCATACAAATGCTGCAACCAGTACAGGTTCACTCCATTGGCCCTGTGGTCGGGGAAGAAGAAGCAATCGATGCACCAGAGTATAAGGGCCCTGGCCCTCCCTTCGAACTCACTGGTGTGGTTTGCATCGGTTAGCTCTCTGTTGCACTCAGCTTCTAACGCATGGGTCCTCAAATACTAGCCTGTAATGGACCAAGTCTTGGGGTCTTGAACCGGTTCGTCGGCCTCTTGAGAGTGGTTTATATATATTAAAAATTAATGAATGGAGTAAACATAAATAAAAAAAAAAAACAAAATTGTCAGAAAAAATTTACCTGAACATAGGGCTCGAACCCTAGCGCATCAGAACAAATTTTTTGCCATTTTCGGGGTGTGCGCTCTTGAGTCGCTCCCCAACAAGGTTCTCCATTGATCGGGAGACCAAAAAGGACTTATACGTCCTGCAGCGTGATCGTGGCCTCCCGGAAGTCAAAGTGGAAGGTATGCGTCTCCGGTCGCCACCTTTCCACCAGACACGTGATGAGGCTGTTGTCGGTCATAAGTCTGCCCATTCGAAATAGCGGGCCAAAACCCGTCCTGTCGATGACCTCCCAAACACTGGGATGCTGGTGCTGCAACGCCTTCCAGAACTCAGTATCGAAACGGCGGGGTTTAATGACGCCGTCACGACATCCCGGGATATCATCAAATAGCGCACTCGACCGGTGGCGGTACTGAAAATATAAAACGGACGGATCTCTCGGACCGGGATGTACATTGTAGCGTTGCGGCTGTGAGGACGACGAAGATGCCATTTTCTGCAAAAAAAAAGTCATTATATACTACATTAATTCAATCATTATATACTACAATCAATAATACAATCATATTCACAAAAAAAAATATCACAAAACCACAAATAAATTAAATAAACAATAAATTCACAAATTCAAAAATCATATACACAATAAATCGAAAATAATCTCTAATCGACAATTCGACTCCAACAATTCAATTTGCGACAAAATAATCCCTAAACATATTATAAAAATTCACAAATAAATTCACCTCATCACAATCATCACAAATTCACAATATGTTAACAATATGTACAACAATCCCTTTGAGTCATTTTATCGAACACCTTCAAATCATAAATTTTCAAACAAACTACAAAACCCTAACATAATCCAAATAACCCATCAATTTGCGCAAACAAACATAATCTAACATAATCTAACAACCCATCAACATATCTCAATCCATATCTCGAAGAATTATTGAAAACCCTAATTTTTGCCCTAATTTGAAATTATTGAAAATTATAAAAATCAAAG